CCAAGGCTGAGACACACCACACTCCTCCATAGTCCCAGCAGTCACAGATGACAYAGGACTAAAAACCAGTGCACAAGGTAGATCCAGTTTGCCAAGTAAACTAGCAGGGAATGCATATGACAGACCTTTCCCAAGCTAACTCTTACCAAGACTGGTCCTCTATAAATCTTGCTCTTCTAATAAGAAATCCAATCAAGTTATCAGGTGTTTGGGTAAAAGAGGAATTGACTGATTGCACACTTTGCAAGTTTGACAAGACAACCCATGTTTTGAATTGAAGACAACAGTGACAACCCATGTTTTGAATTGGTGTCATAAAGGCAAATTATCATAAATGCTTCTTCTTTCTTACAAGAACCTAGATGCTTGTATGTAGCACAGCACATGACTCAATGAAGCCAATAGGAAAAATTCCAATTAATTTGTGTCATCTCTATGGAAACTTCATATTTGTTTACAGAGCAAGAGTTTGTTTTTAAACTCGCCTTTCAAGTTCTTGGCAAACTGTTAATATTTGTCAATACTTAAGAAACCCAGTAAAAAGTGTTAGAAGTTTAATCACATCTATTTAATCACAGAGTTAGAAGTTTAGATCATTAGAAGTTTAATCACAACAGATTTTACTAACTATAGTGCATATTTATTCTAGACGCACCAAGACATTTTCAACATGAAATCCTATCAAAATTTAACAAAAATCCTGCAGATCAATTTTGGCAAAGTCAACGTAAAGACCTTCATCACACATGCTATAGAAATACTATTTAGTTCAAAACAGAATTTCAAAAAGTATTTTGGGAGAGCTGTTTCTTCTCCCTCTTCTTATATCACTGTCCATACTGTGAATTACCCAGATCTATGCAGAACCAATAAAGAGAAGGACTTGCTGTGTCATACAACAAGGCAAGAGAAATTGTGCATGCTCTCAGCGGGGTGCTCAGAAAAGCATAACACCACAAAGAYGTGCAACTAAGACACACACATATGCAGCGGGCATACACAAACTGTTTTGCAGTACTGCTTTTGCACGTACCAATTTGGGCATGTTCAAATGTTAGGATTCCAATTTTACTGCTAAAATTTGAGCACATCACCTTCTATTCGATGCTTAGCTCATTTAGCATTTTGTCTTCAATACGTGGGCTGGATTGTTCCTACTACAGGATTGATAAGAGATTGCGACARTAGTTTCTCACCCTCCCTCTCAATGCAGAACAAGCATTCAGAAGCTATAAGCAGGCTCCAAAATGGGATTAGTTAAAAAAACTGATATAAATAATTCCGTTGGGTTTGTTGTTGTTGCTAGGGCTTTTTATGTGGTTTTCTTCCCACTTCTCACACTCCAGTATGTGCGTCTTCCAACCATTTGCCAGTTCAAGACTAGAATTAAATAAGTTTCCTGAGATTATTTTTTCAGAGCAAATCCAAATACCTTGGGATTCCAACAGCCCATTGCTGGCAATGCTGCAAGATATCCAGTGGGGAGCAGTCTAAAGCCTTGAGTTTTCAAGGCTGCCTCCTCAGAGCTGCAAGGTACTGCTGCAGAAGCAGAGCTGCTGCTCCAGGCTGCTTCAAGGAGTGTAGAAGATGGCACACAAGCTAAGACTAGTCTAAATCTCCCATGGATTTCTAGCTTGAGTTTTGATGAGGAGGAAAAATCTTAAGTAGTAAAGCCAGCAACTTTTTATAATAGGATTCCACGTAATAATGCGGAGTGGATTGTGATATCGATAYCTCAGAATGGCTCTCAACAAGCCTAGCCACATGACAAGAACAGACAGAGATATCTTTACTTCTTTGTAATGCAACATATTTCTACCTTTTCCACCTAAACCTAGGAATAATGAAAGTCCAAAATAAGTTGGTTCAAAGGAGTGGGAAGCAGGAGGTAGAAGAGAAATTGTAGGCTTCCGTTGAGGAAGTTGACTATAACAATGAACTGTTTTCATTATTTTGCCATACAAGTGCAAGTAACACAGCAGGATAAACAATCTGGCAGCTGGGCCTGAAGGTCAGTTGAGTTTTAAAAGATACGTGGCAGCAACATCTCAGACATCAATGAGAAAGCTCAAACTATAAGGTCTCAGTTCTCATTGTTTAGGACCTTATGTGCATATTTGCCATTTATATAGCAACTTTCTCAGAGGGGATAACTGGGCAGAACTGGGACACCATCATTAATGAACATTAGCAATTGTGTCTATAATATAAAAGTCAATTTTTATAAATAATTTGCCCCCTCCAGAATCAGAGATGAATTAATGCCGCAATGGGACTTTAAGCAACTTAGCAGACAATTACTGAAAATGCATAATCTGTTTGATTCTACCACACAAGCTGGCAATTCCAGAAGAAGGTAAGGCTGGGTTTCCTAAACACATTGGAAGGCTTAAGGGTCACATTTACAGAAGCAGTTAGGCTCTCAGCACTCAGAAAGAGGCCTAGCAGGATTCTCAAATCGTGACGCCTAATTCACACCTAAAGTTGCTGAATATTGTGCACTCAGGAATAGGCTTTGACAGTCCTATTGCCAAGACCCAGCAAGGACCTTTCTCATTAGCCTGGTACTTTTGCACCTTTGGATGACAGCCTGCATTTCTGACCTGCATTGTCCTAGGGGAATTACAGGCATTCAGCAACAACCCAAATCCCTAACTGAGGGTTTGTAGAACATAGATGGGTTTAGATGCAGATCCAGGTTTCAATATGTCAACATACTGCCTTTCTCTGGTAAGAACATTCACTTGAGAGGCAATTCTATCTGAAGAGGCTGAAGTATCAAGCTCTTGGTTACCACTCGTTTTGAAGACTATTACCAAAAACTTACAAAACTTGGAATGAAACACCATTTACTTTTACCTTTAAAGGAACTCAACTTTGTATTGGGATTCTCACAGCATGAAAAAAATACTGCTATGAAAAGAATATTTTTATAACTCACAATGAATAGTGGATTTCAAAAAAACTAAAGTCCTGCTTAACAAATTAGGTCAAAAATGAGAATCACTTCTGCTATTGAAATCATGCCTTTAATTTAACATAATCCTTTGCTCTTTTTATAGCAAAGGCATACAGTGCAAGACAAATTCAAATACATAAAATGTTTATAAGGACGTTTGTCTGACAAGTATTATATATGTAAGCACATATGCACATACATCAAATATATCTACTTACTACCAGAGGACTCGGAAGATGACTGTGTTAGACTAGGTGCTTGAATTTAAGGCAGCTGAAGTGAAACTCGAAAGTAGCTAATCTCAGCCTCACAATGGTGCTATCAAAACACCATTAAACAAGTTCATGAAAAGCTGTACAAAACTGGTTGATTTTCCCCATTTTCAAATTCTAACTTTCCTCTGGAGTTTTTCAATACTTCCACACTTTTCCACAGTTCTTAAAGCTGTAGGAAAGCTTTAAAAATATAGAAGTTCTATAGCATTTTTCAAACATAGAAATTTCTCCAGCCTTCTACCAAATTCATGCCTACTGGAATCTCTTGGCCTTTCCATAAGCCATACTTACTAAGTTTTTTTTTCCTTAGGTACCTATCTCCTTGAAAACTTTCCTATTCTTACACTCCCTAGTTCTGTATTAACATAAATTCTAGCTCTGCAAATTTCTTTCTAAGTGTCTTGCAGAGGCCACAGAGTAATGCACACAACATAGGAAACATGACCACAGCCAATTTAATTTTGTGTAAAAGGCTATAAGGTCTTCAGGATGCCTGAGACACAGCAGAACACAAGTCTTCCTTCCTCCTGACAGTCTAACACACGAGAACTCATCTTGGAATGGAATAGCAACACTGTTGAGTTAGATATTAATATCCATAGGTTAATAYACCTATTAACCAGAAGCAAAATACATGAAGTACATCTACCAGTCCTGTGACAAAATTAACATTGCTAATCACTTTTCAGTCTTAAATTGACACAATAATTAGCCAGATGCATGGAAACTACATTTGAAACATTGTCTACTACTTATGCAATATGAAAAAAGGAGAGAGAGTACGTTTTACAGTAGGCACGTGGGTATAAAACAAGGCCTGAATAAGAGTTTTCTTTGTTTTTAAATTCAGGAGATAGTACAGTATGGGTTTTGCAAGGCACTATTAGTAATTGGTCAGAGCATAGCAATTCATTATGAAGAGCAGAAAAAACACATTCTTCTGCTCTTACTCAACTATGCCACACAAAATTTCATTTTGTTCCATTTTCTGTTTCAGCTCCTTTCAGGTTTTATATCAATCTTTATGTATTCTGAATCAACAATAATCTTGTTTAGCAGAGCTCTATGAGRTACTCAGCATAGGAGCCTATGGCTCAGAGGACATCAGTTAAAATAAAATAATCAACCAAAACTAGTCATCCAGTCCATCTCAGTAGGTCAGGGTGCYACCAAGAACATAATTCAGACACACAACAGCTTTACCTCTTAATAARTTTTCACATTTCTACCATAACACCTGACTTTTCTCCTACTTAAAAAGAGAAGAATTTCTGAAGTCAATAAATGTTTCTCCCAAATTTCTTGGGCTTTCTCCAACATGCAATTACTAGGTCATTCCTATGAAAATATCTCTTACTACAATGCTTGCATCCCTTACTTGGGAGGCAAAATGTTTAATGGAAAGATACCAAATATTAGGACAACCTTAAATAGCAAATACACTTTTCCCTCTATTTGTCATCTCACCATTTCTTCCTATATGGTGGAGAGCATTCTTTCAAAGATAAGAATCAGGATGTGTCTTCTGGAAATTAATAACTCTAATCATCTACTCTCATTTGGTTATTATGCTTTCAGCTGGTATTGTTACTATCAGTGATTAATGGCGTAAGATGCACTGCAATGGCTCAACTCACAGGCACATTAATCAAAAAGCATTCATTGTAAGAGGGTTTTGGCACAGRGCATCTTCTCCAGTACCTCCATTAAAGAGGTCCTTGGAAGATTCCACTGAGAGAAGAAGATACAAGATTGGAAATCCCTACCTTCACCTGATGATCCTGAAAGGTCTATGATGACATATACTCTCCCTTCTGGCTCCAAGTCAATCTGCAATCAAGAAGAGAATTAAAATATAACTTAGAGTGGCTTTCAAAGTAAGCTATTGCACATGCAGGAAAGTTTCCAAAGCCCTTGAAGCAGAAGGGTATGCAGGACACACAGGCAATTCTGCAGCATACTAAAGAGAGTCTTCATCTTTTGCAATTAACAAACATGGTCTAATAGAAGAGGGCTTGAGGACCCTGTTACTTCAGTGAAGTGAAACACAAATGCATGTCCTTACCACTTTGTAAGCTTGAATCCAGTGATTTTAAATCAAATCAAATGTTTTCAAAACCAAATGTTTTAAACACTGTTCCACCATACATTTCAACCACTATTTCCATGAAAAAATAGTTAAAAATGAGTGCTGAATAGCTTCCATGATACTGAGCTCAGCTAGACAAATATTTAAAGCAAAACTCTACCCTACTCACATGTAAAACAGAGTGATAGATTGGTTTTGGTTGCACTACAAGGAGGTTAATTATATACTTATATATTATATATATTAGCACACACAACTTGTTTAGCTAGTTATACATGCTTTCAATATTTTCATTACTGCTAAAACAATACACATTTTACCCTCTTGCTCCAAAATRCGAACTGTTTAATTGCTGAACTGTCATACTGGAAGATTAAGGAGYCTTTGTCCTCATGACCATCAGCTTCAGTAGGTGCTCAATATCAAGTGACTCTATCTGAAGGTCTCGGGGGCTTTAGCAAGATGACCTTGCTTGACCAATGACTTCATAAMTCCTAAAATACCACAAGCAGCTTTTACAGCCACTCACCTCAAAACAATAACTGCAGTTAACACAGTACAATCATTAGCTCTTACTTTCAGATTTCAGCTGTCATAAGATTACAGAAACTGTGAGAGAAGTCAGCATAGTTTACATTAACAGTATGTTTTCTTGCCAACTCAGGTATTTTGCATGACCTGCTGGCTAGGTGCTGACTGGGGGCTCCCAGCTGCAGCAGGTCCAGGCCTGGCCACCAAAGTCCACCCACTGCCATGAGGGAGCAGCCCCAGCCCCAGGAACCACCTTGGGCATSGGGCCTGATGGCCACAGGCCAGGGCACCACGACCAGGGCTGTGGTGGGGCCAGAGCTGCAGCAAAACCATAAGGATAGATAGCCCCATGCTTTCTCTCCTCCATCTCACCAGGTTCTGTCTGCTCTTCTTAAGCAGATCCAACATCAGGCTGTGACTGCACCTAGGCACAGGCCACTTCAAACCCTGCTCTGTCCTCTGTCACCTTCCACTCCACACTAGTCTATGGTGCTAGGAAAGATGAACCTTGTTCTGTCAGCTCTCTAGGCTCATATGAGATACAAATTGTCTTAAATCATAAATGGCAAAAAAAAAGATAGGGTATTAGGATAAAATGATACCAAGATATCAATAATTCACACTAATAACTTAGGCGACCAATCTACTGAGCTTTGCAGATTAGCAAGTAAATGAACATTTCAAACAGTCGGGATAATGCATCATAAAGCGTCCTTTGATCACTTTGACAACCACAACTTGAATTTAATTTTTAATGATGATTCACATTCTTCATAACAAGAGAACTTACTGCCTCACACAGGGGAGGAAGTCACACATCCCGTAATGATACAAATGTAGGAATTACTGATTAAATTACAGATTAATTGATACGTCAAAATCGTTTTGCCAAAAACTTACCACAGCTTTCTTTGCAAGAGGGCTCCTCTTTGATACTTAATCCTGCCTAGAGTAGTAGCAAAAATTCTGAGCCAACTACCAGGATATGGCACTGGGGATCTATTGCAAATGAAAGGTGTCTCCTTGTCAGGGAATTGACCTGTGAATTCAGGACTCTGCCCTCAACCTGCTCTCAACCTGCTCAGCAAATAGGCAAGGATGGAGCCTGCCTCTTGCTAGCTACAAAGCGCGAGGGAAAAGGCTTGGCATGGAAAAACAGTCCCAGGAATACCAGGCTTTGCCCATCTGCTAACCCATGAGGCCACCTTCTTTTGTAGGGATCCTTCCATTTCTGCTTTCCTCTTTTAAGTAAAAAGGGCCTTTACAGGAAGGGAACTTGTTTCTCTCCTTCTGGTCACAGCTGGTGGGTGCTCCAGGCACCCAGGCTCCTCCTGCCACACACCAACAGATCTAGAAAACCATCACAGGGATTATTTTTAAATAGACAAGGGATAAAATGAGTGTTAGCGGGGCCAAGAGTTGCCCAGAGGACAAGATAATGAAAGCATGGTCAAATTTTCCCATTAATAAAGCATTGAATATCGAGTAAGGTTATTCCTAACAGTTTCTGAAATAGTTGCTGTGATTTTTTTAATTTTTTTTTTTTTTGAATAAAGCTACTGATGTCAAAATATTGCTTGTCTACCTTGGCAGAGTTTCTAAATGCAAAGGATGCAATCAGGAGCACAGGTGCACAGATAGGCTTTGATGTCTAAACTGAGGGCTAACAACTTTCAAATGCTCAAGTGCCATAGCAATTGCTAAGTTAGGCATATCCAGTGCTCTCTTTGTACCAGCATTATATATTATCTGGTTGAGCTGCAGTTAAGTGTTTAATCSAGCTTTAAAAATCTAACCAATCACACACAAAACCAACACTTCTCCCGATGGAGAATCAGGCAGTGATTCTTCAGCAGGGCTGCAAGAGCTGGTGAACAGCACTACAAAGCATCCCTCCTGCTCACTTATTTTTAAAGTTAAACAACATTGGAAGCAACCCAGGACAGATTGGAGCACTGAATTCAAGTTTCCATTATCCATCAAGTGGACAATTCTCCATATACAATTTATTCCAAATGTTGCCTACTGATTTTGATTGAGAATTTTCGCTGATACTCTAAGCAGAGCATTTGTGGAAAGAAGTTTCCTGCACAAAAGGAGTGATTTTCCAACTAGAACACTCCAAATACCAATGTGAATGAAACAGGAATGTTTTTATTTAAGTTTTTAGAATACTCCCTTTCAGTGAGCGCCTATGTTGACAGTGATCTGTCACATGATTTATTATTCGTGCCAAAAGCTGGCAGTTAGTTGCCTCAGATGACCCTCTGTATGGAAGTTGAATAGCAGCGAAAACCCCCAAAACTGATAGGAATCCAGTCTTTTGATTTCCAGTCTTCAGGTATGGAAGAAAAAAATTGATTCAATTCTGATTTTGCATAGAATATTTCTAATTCAATACCTAGAAGCATAATTATATAAAGAAATACACCTCAAAAGTGTTTCCCCCCCCTCTTCAGTCTACACATTAAACCATACCTAGAAGCTATAAAATGACAACCAACATTCATAAAAAAAGAATTTTTTTGTTATTTAAACTGTAATACAACAGTTTTTAGACCACTATCTTAATTTTTTGGTGAAATTATTTTAGAAGCTGCATCTAAGACACTTTCACCAAATGCACAGAAAAACATTACAAAAGAAATACCCTTAGACGTAGATAACCAGAAAAAGAATGACAAATTCAGCTGAATGAAACAGACATTCTTGAACCCAGTGGAAACTGTCTGATCACAGCAGTTCTGATGATGACTCTTCCCTTTGACTAAAAATATTTCTCTGAATAGAGCCAAGCATTTATACATGCAGGGAGACGCTATGAGAAGAAAACTAGGAAGAAATGGCTGTTGAAAAGGACAGCAGGGAACAAGGCAAGATGCAAATAAGGGATGAGACAGAAGAGTTGACACAACATGAGCTTTGCTTAACCACACTGCAAAATTTATGGCTTGTACATATAGGCCACATTCGACATACATGTTCAAAGTAACAACCACTGGAGCAAAATATTTGAGCACCCCCTCAATATCTTATCCTGGTTATTGGTCCATACTATAGTCATGACATTTGCTAAAATATAAAGTTCTGGCAGGTGCAGGCAACTAATTGGAATTAGTTTTAAACAATTTTTATATTGCTATAATTTTTTCTGTGGCAGTATGGCAAGATCAGTACAATGACTGCTAGAAAACTGCAGATCTTGAAAAGCTCCAGGCGTAAGAAAAGCATATTGGTAGTCTGTTTCAGGGAACAAAAGGCAACCATCCATAAAACCAGACACATTTTCAGAGGAAAAAACCCCATGCTGAAACCATAGCCAAGTTTCAGCATATTGAAGGCATTTATATAGTTTCACAGTCATTAATGGATTTTATTTTCAACACCCTTCTGAGACAGTTCCCCATCTGTAAAATGGGATACTCCCCAAGGCACAAGCTAGACTAAGTGGCTTGCCAGGGAGGCACACAAGGAGGCTACAGTTTATCCTAGAACTGAACTGCCCACTGGACCATTTGTCCTAGTCCCCAGTTAAGATYCACCCTGGCCGGCTATACCCACCTTATCCTCCTGCAGTATCAGTCAGAAACACCTMGGAACTGTTCTTGAAAACAAGCAAATAAACAAAAAGAACATCCTCTCATACACAGCTAGCAGGCAATCTCCTTTTTCTTCTATTCAGTTATGGGGGGGAAAAGAAAGGATGCTTCAATATTTCTCTGTAGTATTTGCTAAGCTTGTCTTTTCTTACGCAGTTCTAGAGTTAAGAAGTGTAATGAAAATATGCAGAAAATTGAGAAAAAATTGAGTTTCTCTATGTTTGCTTTCTGTAGTCTTTTAACTCCTGAATTTTATTTTGGAAAATTAATTCTTAAGTTCACTTAGACTTGGCATTTTCTTCATCAGAGGAAGTTGTCATTCCAATGCCCTAAATAAGAACCCAGCAATACAGGAGTGAACAAGTGCTCCGGTATTTTGTAGCTAGAAATTATGCTAAACACAATAACAAAAGTCTTCAACTATAAAGCTATTTAGGATTTTTTTTTCCCAATAGTAAAAGGTCTAAATGAACCGTAGGAGCAACAGAAACAGGAAGTTGAGTCATAAAACCTCCTTACACCTCTTTTCGTGATGTTCTAGGATTATCTGACATTTGGATAGCTTAAAGCATAAACCTCCCAACATATGATTTGTCACTACAGAGTGTTAG